TCTCTCTCTCTCTCTCTCTCTCTCTCTCTCTCTCTCTCTCTCTCTCTCTCTCTCTCTGGATGTACTTTTTTGGTCATGTTCTCCTCTTTATCGATGCCCTTACTATTTCCTCAACTTCATATCTGGATTTGGGGCTGTTTTTCTTTTTCTTTCCTCCACTGACATCTCCATGACAATCTTTTTCACTCCATGGCTTCATATACCATTTATACGTTTGGGTCTCTTAATCTGTTTTTGGCCAAAATCTCTTTCCTAAACTCTATCTCACAAATGTTTTCCTGATTTACGTCTCTACCTGGATGCCTTATAAGGTTCTCAAGCTTAAGATAGCCAAAATAAATGCAGTGATATTTTAATTCCACCATCTTCTACTGAACTTCCTCTTCCCCAGGCTTTCTGTGTCTGTCGGAATCAACAGCTTCTAATTGTTCAGTGCAAATTTAGGAGTAATCATTGATTCCTTTCTTTATCATGACAAGCATTCAATCCATGGCAACTCAAACCTCTCTCCTGAAACATCCTAACCTTCTGTCTCTCTATCTCTTGCCCTATCAAGTTCATGAAGAATAGCCCCATCCTCTATCACCTGGCTTCTACAACCACTTTATAACTGTTTCCTCTTCTTACTTTTTTCATCCCACTCTCTGAAAAGCTGCTTGAGTAAACTTCAGGCTAAGCATGAATTCAATAGTGTCATTTTCATCCAAGGAATTTTTCCTTGTAAGGAGGATAATATCCATTTTCCTTATCATCTCCTACATGACCTTTGAGCATTTCTGAGAAATTCCTTCCTGACTAAAGAACATGAGACTCTGTTCCTTATTTTAGGTCCTTGTCATTTGCTTCTCCTTCTGTTTGTGACGATGCTCTTCTTTTCTTAGATCTTTCGCAATGCAGGCTTCATTCTCATCATTCAGCTCATTCTTCAAGTTACCTCCTCAGGATATCTTGCCTGAGACATACAAATTTGTACATTCCTTCACTGATCATTGAACTAAATTCCATTTCTGTACTATCTTTTTTCAATAGGCTTAAAATCCTAACATCGCCTTTCCTAATCTTCTGTTTAAGTGCTTGTTATTGGCTTCTTCTCTCTTTCAGGTGAGGAACAGACTGTAGCCCTCTTAGTCATTGCTGCATCCCCACTGTGAAAGTTATGCTTAATTGGTAACTTGATTGGATTAACTTTATTGCCTCCTGATCAGTTCATCGGAGCACTATACCCATTGGTGTATTAATGCATTGATTTTCATGAATGAATATGCTGTTAGGTGAGGCAGTGGGGACCAGCAGGATATGTCAGTGGGGATGTGCCTTGGGAGTGTGCACCTCTGGTTTGTACTCTTCCCCTGTGCTGCTTCTTACCTGCCAACAAACAGGCATCTTTCTCTGCCATGCCTATCTACTATGGTGCTTCTGCCTCATGCACTGACTCCTCTGAAACAACTAGCCATCTTAAGCACCTTGTCCTTTAAGTGGCAAGGGTTAGGTGTTTTGTCCTGGCAGTGATAAAGCTGATCAGAATCTGTGCCACTTGGGTGGTAGTCACTCCTTTAGAATGTGACTAAGCACAGTGCAGTGCAGAAGGCAGCATACGTTCCTTGCATACAATGACACAATCTCTAGGAACTTAAAAATGATTCATTTTTAATGAAGAAATTTATTTTCAGGACTCCAAGAAGATCACACAAGGAATCTGGATCTTACCTTTAAACACTTTCTTGTGTTTGAATCAAACTCATGTCTATAGTGGCAGAAAAATCTTTGTAGCATTAGAAAAGATTTCTGTTTCTTAACAACTCTTTTGAAGAGTATGTATCAGAGCTGTATGTCGCACTGGAATTTCTTAGATTCACCTGGAGGGATGAGAGATCTAGGAGATGTGTGACTTACTCTCTTAGAAAAATTTAAGCAGGTTCTCTAACCTGAGTTACTGTATATTGATTCCTGTCATCTCCCAAGGGAAGGTTAATATAATGCATGATCTCAATTATAGTGGCCTGAATGTGTTTATAGCTGTTAACAACTTTGGATCTCCTATTTTCCTATTTAAATTCACTTCTTTATGAATCACAGTTTAAATTTCTGAAAGTATAATACTTCAAAGCATGCTTAACCTAAGCTTTTTTATTTTTAGTGGATAAAACTTATGCTTTATCCTTTCCAGTCAGGTTAATAATTTGAAGAAGAAATGCAGGAAAAAACAGTAAGATTATTGAGAGCCTAGAAACTTAGCCTCCTGTAAAAAGTGAGGTCCAAAGTATTCAATCACCTTAAAAACCCAGCAGCCTTACTTTGAGGTTAACAAAATGGTTATAGGATCCCAATAACTTGGATTTGGGGTTGGGAGGCTGGGTTTTCAGGTGCTGGCTGACAGATATAATCCAATCTGTTAAAGTTCTGACTGTGGTTGGTACCACTTGGTACAGCTATCCAGTCAAGCAAAATGGAAAGGACCGATTCTGGATCCTGAGACTAGCTGAGCTTCTAGGAAAACGATAACAAGTAAAGAATCATTCCATTAGTTTGCTTCTGGGGAAATTGGGCAGAGTAGTACCACAGTTCTAGTCCTGATGCTCTGCCTCCTGTTTCCTGGGAGCACATCCTCTGCCTGGCCCTCACAGTCTCCTTCTGATGGACATAGTTCTGTTACCAGTACCCATCTGCTTTGAGAATAGGATCGGTGTCAGCCCCACTTTGCAGTACCTTCTCCAGCGTTTGCTTTCCTTTGACTAGCACATGGAACAAAAGGATGTGGAAAATCATATGCAAATAACTATCTTTGGATCGCACCGTATATTGCCTCTATATTTCAGACTGTTTTAAACAGCTCCTTCTAATCTAGTCACTAATTGTTCCTGCTTCACCAAGCATTTACTGACAGCAATGCTCTCACCACATTTAGAAAAGGAATCAAATCTGCATTATGGTGTTAGCATCATTGTGTTTCTAGTTTCATGCATGGAGGATCCCTTATAGAGTCATATTTAATGTACTGCTAATTAGAAAGCGGGAGGGAAGTGTCCAAAGCTTTCTCAATGTTGTTTTATCTGTTGTTTGTGTTTACACAGCTCACCATGTTAAAACGGGAACTTGCGAGGTGGTGGCGCTCCACAGATGCTGTAATAAGAACAAGATAGAAGAACGGTCGCAAACAGTCAAGTGTTCCTGCTTCCCTGGGCAGGTGGCTGGCACCACACGAGCGGCTCCCTCTTGTGTGGATGGTGCGACTCCTTCCATTGCTCGCTGTGACAGTGAGGCTGGGCCTGCTTGGGATTGGAACCCCACTATAACCCGCTATAGTCAATCCTGGGAGATCGTGCTGAGGTCACCCGCCCGCAGTGAGGTTGTGGTGGGCAGTTAGAAGTCTAACGTCTTTTAGACAGATGCCTATAATCTTGCGAGGTTCAGTTACAAAAGGCATTGTAATGAGGTTCCGTAACACCGATGGATCATGAGGGGAGGAGTGTGTATAAATTAATTGGGAAAAGCAAGGTGAAAACACATGGCTTAATATTGTGAGTTCCTAAACTCGGGTGAATCTGCATAATGAAAGAATCAACACCCGCTACGTGAGTGAATGTTTGGTTGGAGAGAATTCTTTCAAAAATCTGACTTTTAGGAAGATACATGAGCGTATTAATTTCTTTTTTTGAGAGTTCACCTAACTATAACAAAAATATAAATCTTAGTAAGTAACTATTTAATTGATATTAGTGCAGATTTGTTAGGTGGTATCCTATGATAAGGTTATTGCTCGAGATAAAGAATAAGAAAAATGTGTTAATTCTAACTAATTATAACTCCCCTCCTATTTAGTTTCTGGATTTTTCAGCCTACTCATAGGAAATATTACACTGATTCTAAAATACAGATTCTAATGTGGTCCCAGGGCCATTTTCTCTATGTTTATAAGAACAAGTAGATGTGTACATTCATGTAGATTGTTTAATATAGTTGTCTTTCAGTGCCTATAATTTCACATGAAAAGCCCTTCAGCCCTGTGATTATAGTTAATACCACTGTACCATTCATTTAGAAAGTTGTTTCCTAGTTAGATAAGCATATCTATCTCCAAAAAACAAAATTTTAATAGAAAAATTCTTTCAGTTAAAAATCTTTCAGTGAGACCAGTGGCTTTTGTTCCATTGTAAATGTTCAACTGAAGAGATGACAGGCTCAAGCAGAAAGCCCTGAGCTGATTTTTGTCTCTCTTGTAGCTTCCATAGTGGAGCAGAAATGGTGGTGTCAGATGCAGCCATGTTTGGAGGGAGAAGAATGCAAAGTTCTCCCGGATCGGAAAGGATGGAGCTGTTCTTCCGGTAATAAGGTGAAAACAACTCGGGTAAGTAGACAGCCAGCTTATGAAAGCAAAGTATCTCTGAATTAACAGAGAACGGGACAAGTGAAGTGACATGTTTAGCAGTGGTTACAGTACGATAGCACATAGTTTTTTGCATAGTATTTGTTTCCCATTTTTCCTCACTTCATTTTCATAGCACATTTTCATTTCGCAGTAACATCATAGACCACCATCAGCTGTCATGCTCTCTGATAAATAAGCACCATTTGTTCCTTCATGAGATACTGTGAGGCATCTGGAAGCTCTTGAGGATGCATGTTACCCACTTGGAAGGTGACCGCAGTCCCCATCTTTCTACTGCATAGGAATATGAGTAAATTTTGAAAAAGAAAGATTTAGTTTACATATAACTCAGTAAAATTTTCCCTTTTTTTTCCCTGTTTTATGAAGGTATTTCTTTTGATCTTACTCATTTCTGGAGCAATTGAATAGTTTTAGTGTTTAGGGTTTATACTAATTTTAACAGGTTGCTGAGAGGAGCTGCAGAATCATAAGTTTAGTATGCAAAGTATACTCTCAAGACAGTGGTGTATTTCAGCTTCGCAAGGAGTGGCCTCTGAGGGATGCAAGATTGAAAAAGAGCTCTATTCTCCGATTTTCCTAATTAGATACATGGATTTTATGCAAGAGCAGATTTTGAATTCTATTTTTATAGAATTAACAAATATAAATTCTGTCTTTTTTTTT